TGTTTTTATTAAACGTATTTACTTTTAGTGATAGTATTTTTTGTTTAAGATACTTACTTTCTTTACGATTTCATGTATGCCTATTTTCCCTGCAATGTGACATATACAATTAAAAATTTTTTTTCTACATTTATCTAAAAATTATTTAAAATAGGTCGATAATACTATTTATAGTTAAATAATTGAGTTACTTAGATTTTATGAGGAAGATAAGGAAAAATAAAAGAATAGCAATAAAAATGTTTACAACTAAAATATAACAAAAGAAAAAAATGAAATAAATACATTCTCAATAATATTAAGTTATCGATTATGTATAAAAAGGCTAAAAAAAAAGGCACATAACTTTTTTTTTTACATTTAAATATAAGGTAATGATAATGCACATGCAAAAGGACATGTTATAATTCTGTTTTATAATTATTTATTGATACATTTCGTATCATAATGAAAATATATATCCTTGTATTTTCTGGGAAAAAATTCATTATATTTAATTAAAGATATATCTTTATAGTTAATATAATATATGATATTTTTATTAAATTTAAAGTTTATACTTGTGATTATTAGTTATAAAAAAAGAAAATTTATAAATATATATTTTTACAATATGTTTCATAAAGAAAAGAATTTTCTTCACAGTTTTTAGAATAATTAAGAAAGTAAATTTTCCAAAAAATTAATATACTTTTTTTCAAAATATGTTTTTTACTGAATACATATGATTAAAAAAAATAGTTTTTTTTTTTTTTTTTTTAAATTGTAATTAATTTAAAGTGCTTTTTTATATGATATATTATTATAATTTCTCAAAATAGATATGTTTTCACTTTTTCTTTTGAATTTGTGCATTTCATAATTTTTTTTTATTTTGTGAAAAGTAATTGAAAAAGGAAATTTTTTTAAAAAATAATTATGCATATATATATTATATAAACATATATTAATAACAAAAATAAAAAGAAAACATAAAGATAAAAAAAAATATAATAGAAAAATCAAAATAGTCACATTTAAAGCAAAAACATGCACAATTAAAAATTAGTTTCATATATAATTATAAACGACTACAAATATAGTATGCTGTATGAAAAATACATGCATAGAAAAATTTCTGCTTTATAGTGTTTTTTTTTTTTTTTTTGTTCTTTTTTTTTGATGGAGATATAATATCTCTGATATATGTTAATTTATATCTATAAATAACAAACACCACATATAAAATATTTTAAAGTTTAACGTGATTCACAGATAAAAAACTAATAGTTAAACAAAAAAAAAAAATAAAAAAAAATTCATTGACATTAAATTTATATCATTTATAATTTAATTTATTTCAAATTAACATTATTTAATTTTTTTATCTACTGTAAGGATAAATTTAATTTTAATGAAATATTTTTAAAATAACTTTACATCTTTAAAAATTTTTTTCTTTAACTTATATACCTTATTATTTATTTTATTTTTTGAAAAATTAATAGCATTAATCTTACATAAAGTAAATGTAATATTATGTATAATTATAAAAAATTAAGAATTACATTTCATATAAACAAATAATTTTTTACCTTAAAAATTATAAAATTTACAAAGGTCACCATAATACCTAAAGCAATATCACAAATCTCTAACTTATCATTAGTGAAGATAGAAGTAATTTTGTACCTAGCATAATAACTCTAATTTAAATGTTACACAATAAAAATAATAAAATGAAAACCTTTACTTTATGTTTAAAAATTTTTACATTTCTTCTTTTAATTTGGATATTCCCTTTTTTTTACAAGGTAAAATGAAATTCATATAAGAAAAATACATATAAATATATTTTATTTCTAATCATTTTAAAAATTTTACTTAATTTATTACTATAACAATTGAAAAAAAATTTTTAAACAATTTTTATTTAATCCTATAGTATGATTCCAGTAAGTCATTGATTAATAGAGATACATTACAAACAAAAATTGGGGTAAAACACAAAAGAATATTAGCAGAGGGTGATAAATCAGAAAAAAAATCATCTTCTTTTGAAACATTTATAGATAGTTACCCATCTAGTGAAATAGAGATGAGATATGTTGATTTGGTTTATTTAATGGACATGTATATTAAATGTTATATCGCTAATATTAAATCATTCTGTGTAGATGAAGTTTTATTTAATGAAGAAAATGAAATGAGATATAAATGTAGAAATAAAATATTAAATGCTTATAGAAATAATTTTATAGATGATCTCTGTGAAGATTGTTTTAACTGACTGGTTAATAAAAGGCTTCATTAACCTTTTTGGCTAAAAAAGGACTAGCTATGTGGAGAATACATAGTTAGTTGTGCTAACTAAAAAAAAAAAAAAAAAAAAAAAAAAAAATAAAGATTTAATTTTTTTTTTTTTGGGGAAAGAGATTTTAAATGGAGAGAGAGATTTTTTTTACAAAAGATAATAATATTTTTGTAAAGCGTTTAATTTGCATAATATTTATATTTTGAATTTGTGAGAGAAAATTTTATACATATGAAGAAAAATTTTCACGTAATTAATATTCATATAATTTATTTGCATTTTTAATAAGTATTTTTGTTGTGTTAATTCAACAGCAATATGAAATGATTGCAGAATATAACTCATAATAAATAAACTAGTAATTATAATTAATTAAGAATTAATGTTAAATAAGTGTTTAAATTTTTAATAAAAATAAGGATTTATTTATTAAAATAAATAAATACCTTTTGAGATAAAAGAATACTGAACGAAGTAGATTATGATTAAAGATCACTTGTTCAAATAAAAAATAAAAATATATACAAATATACAAAAATCGTAGAGACATCTCAACATGCTCTTTATTAATTGGTTTGTTCAGTACTATAGTAAAGTCCCCGAACACCCAGTTAATAAATCACTGACTTATTAGCATCGTATTACAAATGGAAAAAGAAAAAAGTTAATTGATAGAATTTCGAAAAATCTTCATTTATATTATGAAAAAATTTTATGTCAATATAAAGAAGAATAAAATAAAATGAAAACAAGAAATAAAATATTAAAAACTAAAAAATTGGATAAAAAAAGACTTTTTTAACCTTTATTAAAATAAAAATTAATATATGAAAAGAAAATACTTAATACGTCATGCACAAGTGCTAGTTAAAAAAAATCAATATTTTGCTTTACATTTTTTTATAAAATTATATTTTATTTTCTTTAAAGAAAAAAAATAAAATTATTAAAAGAGAAAAAATTTTTAGGAAGAAATATTTTTATGAGAATATTTTACATTTTTGAGAGTAAAATTTTCGCTGTTAATGATAATAATATAATTTAAATTTTTTTTGCTCATTTTAAGAAAAATGAGCTTGAATATATGAAAATTATTCATTAAAAGTTATAAATGAATATTCTGTACTTAAAAATTAATATTTAATGAAAATTTCTGTTATTAATAAAAACGTAATATTTTTATTAAAGTAAATAAATTCTCAATAAGCTACATAATTTTGCGGTTTACAGGTTTATAGTATCGAAATTATATTTAAATTCATTAAATTAATAGAGAATGTTCTACATTTTTTTTATTAATTTTTCTATTTATTACTTGATATATTAATTACTCGTTCAATGACTTTATTAATATTAAAAAAACAAAATAATAAAGAACACATAGAGAAAATTTTACTCATTTTCTTTTTTTTTTAATTAAATTATAATACAAATTATTCACTTTCATTAATTAATATAAAATAATAATTGAGTTATTTGATTACTAATGTTATTAATTTACACATTATGCTATGCATATCACGTTTTTACATTGTATTTTTAATCTTCCAAAAAAATATATTCTAGATCATCTCCGTTAAAAAAAAAAAAAATTTTCTTTTTATGATAATAAATTATTTTTAAAAAAAATAATAAAAAAAAAATTATTGTCAAAAGAAAATAAATTATTTTTTTTTTCCAAGTTAGTGTTACAACAAAAAAAAAAAATAATAAAATATATCTATATTTTTTTTTCTTATATTTACTTTTAGAGAGAGTAATTTTTTAAGTGTACGCATTTATGTGTTCACCTTTTCGCAGCATACTAGCATGCTGATTTATTAATTGGGTATTCGGTGACTTTCCTAGAGTACTAGAAAAACAAATTAATAAAGAGCATGCAGAGTTGCTTCTACGATTTTGACGTATTTATATATATTTTTAAATACTTTGAACGAGTGGTTCTTAAATATTTGATTTACTTCGTTTAATATTCTTTATTTTAAATAGCCATTTATTTACTTCCATAAAAATCTTTTTTTTTATTAATAATTTATATCCTTATTGAATATTATTATTAATTTAATGTATATAACATATTTCTTTGTTATTATTTATGTCCAGCAATTTAAATATATTTGTGTGAATTAACAAAGCATAAACAATTAGTAAAAATACAAAATTAATTATGTGAATATTATATACATGAAAATTTTTAATTTCTAATTATAAAATTTTTTCTTACAAAAAAAATTAATATCAAAAAACTATTAAAAAAAATTATAAAATAATATATTTAAGTAAATATCTTTTTTGTTTTTAATATCTCATTCTTATTGGTAACAAATCTTTTTTTAATTGATTTTTTTAACCCATTTTTTTCTGGATATTCTTTTTTTTTCTTAAAAAAAAATATATATATATTTTTTTTTTATGTCCTCTTATTAATAAAAATAAAAACAAAAAAAAATTGATAATTTTGGTTTTCTTTTTTTTTTTATTTGCGTGTGAATAACCAACTATGTATTGTTCCTATAACTAGTTCTTTTTATTTCCAAAAAGGTTAATAAAGCCATTTATTAACCATTACCTTATTACCTATTTATTATCTAAATAATTAAAAATTCTATAATGTGTATGCATTTATCTTTTTGTTTTTATCTTAAGAGAATCTTTTCTATTTGAAAAACAAAAAGGATTTTATTTTTTCTTGTAGGAAGATTATCTAATTATCAGTTTTATGAAATTGTATGTAGGACAGGTTAACAATGTCCTGCTTAATACTTCTAAAAATTTTATTAGGATTTAGTTTTATTAATTCGCTATTTAAATAATAACGTTAATTAAACTATCAAATTAATTAAGTTTCACAAAGTTCGTTATTAGGTTTTTGGTCCACTGTTTTCTATAGATTATAAATTATTTATATATAATTATGTTAAATAACGTAAAATGAACCATTTATTTCATATAAAATTTAAATTCCTTGAATATTCGTTAATAAAAGGCTTTATTAACCTTTATGTTAAAAAAAAGAACTAGCTATATGAAGAATACCTAGTTGGTTGTGCACTAGCGAAAAAAAAAAAATTATTGAATTTTTTTTTTTATTTTTCTTTTAATAAATTGGAAATACATAAAAAAAATATATTTATTTTTTTCAAAAGTATTTAATGAAAGAAGGAAAAATGGTAAAATAAAAATCGGCAGTAAGATTTGTTACCAATGAAAATGAGATCTTAAAAGGATAAAAGATATTTACATATAAATGAGCTTAATTTGCATAGCATTTACATTTTTAATATGTGAGAGAAAATTTTATACATATGACAATAAAATTTCTACGTAATTAATATTCATACAATTAATTTGTATTTTTACTAATTGTTTATATTTATTAGTTCGACAGCAATATATTAAATTGCTGGACATAAATCATAACAAGGAAATAAGTAATATACATTTAATTAATAATCAATATTCAATAAGGATTTAAATTTTTTTTAAAAATAAGGATTTTTATTAAAGTAAATAAATGCCTATTGATATCAAAGAATGCTGAATGAAGTAGATTACATAATTAAGGATTAATAGTTCAAAGCATATAAAAATATATATAAATAAATCAAAATCGTCGAGGTATCTCCGCATGCTCTTTATTAATTTATTGGTTCAGTACTCTAGCAAAATCACCGGACATCTAGTTAATAAGTCAGTACTCTAACAATGTCACCGAACAATCAGTTAATAAATCACTTTATTAACATGTTTGCTCAATACTATAGCAAAGTTATGGAATAAGAAATAAGTGAATTAATATTTCAACTGAAAAATTAATCATTTCAAAAAAAAAGTAAATATATTTTTTTTTTTTTTTTTTGTATTTTAAAA